AATTCTGTGTAGAGTCAAGCATGAAGATTATATGTTAATATATTTTGATACAATATAATGTCAGTCAAGCTGATATCTCCTGATGATGCGAAAGAAGTTCTTTCCAAAATACAAGCAGAATTAGAAAAATGGTAAAGGGCTTCCCTTCCACAGTTTATAAACAAGTTTACCACAAGTAAGAGAGAAAAATGAATAGAAGCAGAAATGAAGCTTATGGTGTGACCGATGCTAAATCCAAGATAGTGAAAAGTATAATTTCATTAGAGAGTGAGAAAATCAATTCATATCAGGCTACTTTAGCCTTTGGCTTTCTAATAAATTTTGCATAAAGATGTATATGTCACATGTTGGGTAAAGGGGGTCAGTCTGTCTCCCACACCCAGATATCTGGGGAACTAAAATAAGCAGCATTCCCAAAGCCTTGAAACTGGATCGGATGAACTGCTTCCAGAGCCTTAAGTGGGCCCGCATGTGTAGACTGAAGCTCTATTGTATAATATTTATTGGTTCCCTGCTGGCTTTGTGTGCATTTAGTATGTAAGGGAGTTGGAACTTCCTGTGGGGGAACATAGGACACCCAAGAACACACAGCTTGCAGCATGTGTGGACTGCCCACTCTTGAATAATGCGCATCAAGCCATTCCTAAGGCTCCATGCATGTTCTTTCTATCGGTATCCTGGAATCTGCCTGGCCTTGAAAGGTCTCAACACAATTAGCATAGTTTGCAGGATTTGCTGCAGTGGGGCATAAATTTGGAGGAGCCTCCCGGATCCCCAGCGTGGAGCCTGGATGGGTGACCAGTCACCGGAATGTGGTACCAGGTGGCAAGTCTCCTGGAATGTGGGCCCCACCCAGGGAGTGGCCTGATATCAGTGGTGCACCCAATACTATAGCGAAGGCTCAGCAGGTGGTTGGGGAGACTCTGGAGTGGCCCAGGCCCTGGGGGGCTGTGGGGGCCGTGGGCTGGGGGTTTCTTCCAGCTTTGCCAGCTAAGAAGGAAGCTACACTTCATGATGTTGCACAGCTACAAACTCTGTGAGGGAACGAAAAGCCTGGGTCTGTGCCCTGGAACAAGACCTTGGAACAGCAAAGCCATAGCGATCCCCCTCCCCAATCATAGTGAAAGATTTGGAGGAGGAGGGAAACTTCCACTTCCATACCCCTTCCCCAACTCTTCCCCACAAAGACGTGTAACACAGTTGCCAAGAGTGACTGGGCTGGAGCACTGCACCCCGAGCTGGATGTTCTGACAGCAGTGACACTTGCACCTGGAAAGCTCTGCTCCAAGTCTGCTTATTTGAGCAGATGGCGGTCGGGGAGCAAATGGTGAAGGCAGGGACGCAGAGGCAGAAAGGGCAGTGAGGCAGCCTGAGGGGATGCAACGGTGGCAACAGCAGCCTGCATCTGCCTGGGCAGTTCGAGCTGGGCGAATACAGAAGAGGTGCCAGACACTGCTGCCAGGGCCTGAACACACTGGCCGAAGAGGCAGTGCAGCTGCGGAAGGAGCCAGCAGAGGCTCCTGGTGTCCGCACACCAACGTTTGGTATAGGCCTGGACCAAGGCCCTGTGGGGCTACAAGCAGGGGGCGGCGGAGGCTGGAGCTACAGGGGAGACAGAGGCAGTGGTGGAGCAGCCAGACTAGGACTGTGTCTTAAGCGCCCTCTGTCTTGAAGTTAAAGAGCCAACCCATGTGGTTGTGAGCGGAACAACGTTCCTTGCCACCCAAGAAGAAAAAGGCGGTGAAGAAAAAACCTGGGGATGTGCCCAGGAGGCCTATCTTGTGCATCTGGAGGGTCATTTGGCTGTGCCAATCTCCTGAGAAGAGGGAGGAAATATCCTTTGAAAATCTGAACAGGAAGAAGGGCCAAGAAACCTGACTTACGGGGGACGGGCAGGACTGGAACAGTAAAGGCCGTGTGGCTTTTCCTAGGTGTTGGGTGACTGTCCCCCCATGAATATACTGTTTAGGTGTCCCCTATTCCTAAGTGTATCCTGGACCTCTTGTGGGGGCTGGCTGAGGCTCTTTGCAGGGATACGCTGAGCATCTTCCCTGTTCAGTTGCCGTCCCCACGAAGGGTGATGGCAGTTAAATGGACACAATCTGGCTTAATACTGAAGTAGGTCAGAGTAGCCAGTCGGCAGAACTTCAAGCTGTGTGGCTCCTGGCAGCAGCTGAAGCCCCACCCCTGACTATTTGCAGATAGTTGCAGGGTATACTGGGGGCTAACATTATGGATTTCTACCTTGGAAACATTATGGATTTCTATGTTGGAATGCAAATAAATGGATGGTTATGCATAGGCCACGGGGACAGGCCTTATGGCAAGACCAGTGGGAATTAGGCCACCAGAAACAAATCATTATATCCTGTGTCTGGGCATGCCCCTCTGGCTTCCCCTGGGAATGATAAGGCTGACATTCTAGTCAAGGTGCGGTGGCTAGAAATGATGCCCACCAGCCCATCAGGAAGGGAAGTAGCCCAATGGCTACACGGTCGCCTCTTACATGCTGGAGAGAAAACCATGTGGTCTACTATAAAAACTTGGGGGTTAGCTGTCACCTTAGTAAAGGTACAGAAAGCTTTTGAGACCTGCATTGTCTGCTTGCAAGTACATCCCTGAAGGCCTGTGGGAACTACTGGACAGGTGGTGCGGGGTTGGGAACCACTGACCCGGTGGCAGGCGGAAGTAATCAGGCCCTTACCTAGTTCAGAGGGATATAAGTATGCTATTACAGGTGTGGACACTGCTACGGGACTTTTAGCTGCTTATCCCACATGACACCCAGATCAGAAAGCAGTAATTGCTGAGCTGGAGAGGTTATATGCTGCTTATGGGTGGCCCCAATCATTGAAAGTTGTGAAGAGACGTACTCGGCTAAAACCAGGCATGGGGAAACGGAATTATTCTCTGGCCTGCACCTGAGGGCCTGGAGTGAGGGCAAAAAGCCACTTGGACATAGCCTTGGGAAATAAAAGCCTCCCCCTCCCCCGCACATGTGTTCAGTGGCTCTTGTTGCCCCTTCCGGGGACAAGGGGTGGAGAAAAATTTGCAAATGGTGCCCTGGGTGATTAGGACAAGGACCCCAATCTTAAAGGTGACATATCCAGGGCCAGCAGACCATGAAATGCTTCTTCATGGCACCTTTGTGATTTCCCTAAGACCCATTAAGAAAGAGTTCTCCACTGTTTTTGCATGTAGATGCTGAGCCCCCCAGTTGAGGTACTAAAGGTATGGTATTCACGCCCAGGAAGACCCCCTATGCCAGCCACTGTCTTATCAGCTTACCAGAAAATTGCTTGTATATTGCCTCAAGGTTGTGATTTGCCCTTATTGGTGCCTGTAACTGCCCTGTCTTTTCATCCTTAGGGTACAGAAATACATCTTAGTGGAGTGGGTACATACCTATGCCTCAGTGACTAACCAATCAGTGTGCTGGGTCTGCACTGAAGTCCCCAGAGCACATCTGCCGGCTTTCCATGGCGCATCTCTCCAGCTTCTTTCTCAAATTGGACTTGGCTACAGTACCAGTGGAATAGTGCACATCTCTTATGTAATGTGACCTGGACTGACTTCTATGCTGGTGTGGAGCAGCAGTGTGACCAGCTCAAGTTGTTGGTAGTCTGCTCCGTATCCGGTGGCTTTGGGTTGGCTGGGACTGTGGGGTTGGCTGGGTCAACCCCTCTCTGTGTAAAAAGCTTCAAGGAATGGGCCCAGGTGGACTGAATTCCTGTGGGTCTGTGTCAAAGATATGCTCTTGGGCATTGCTGGGAGGCATGGAATGGTGCATGGGCTATAGTTCCCACAGGGATCCTCTGTGTGTGTGGCTCACTTGGGTGGCCTCACTTCCACAGAAATTACAATGGGAAGGCTGTTGTACCTACAGGTGGCCTTATTTGTTTGTTGCTGTGGCAGCTGGGTGCAGGGCTCTGCCCTCCTCACCGAGGGACCCTTGTGGAAGACATCCTCACGTAGACTGTACGGTGAGGAGCCCAGAAGGGGTAGACTGCAGGGTAAACAGGGTCAGTCTGGCTCCCTCACCCAAATGTCTGGGGAACTAAGATAAGCAGCATTCCCATAGCTTTGAGACTGGGTCTGATAAACTGTTCCTAGAGCCTTGAGTGGGCCTGCATGCGTAGAATGAAGCTCTGTTGTATAATATCTGTTGGCTCCTGCCGGCTTTGTGTGCATTTAGTATATAAGGGAGTTGGAACTTTCTGTGGGACATGGGACATGAGACATGCGGAACACGCAGCTTGCAGTGTGAGTAGATCACCCATCCTTGAATAAAGGCATGTCAAGCATTCCTACAGCTCCATGCATTTCCTTCCATCTTACTGAATCCTGGAATCTGTCTGGCCTTGAAAGGTCACAACACATCACACTACCCAGAGACTGTGCTGTGGCAGATGCTCTGCTCTACCTCAAGAGTAAGAGAAAGGCAAGCACAGATCAAGGTGATCCCTGGCACTTCTACAAGATGAGGACAAAAACACCTTCCAGGGTCTCTTTTAGGGTCAATCCCAAAGCAGCTGCTTATACCACTTACACCTGCAGATACACCTTCCATGTGGCAACAAAATTAGGTTCATCACCAAAAACCATGTTTTCAAGAAATGGGCAATCTTATCTTGAACTATGATTTTAAAATATTAAAAGTAGAATACATTTATACTCCTTGACACACATCCATGTATGAATATCATAAAAGGGCAACATTTTTTGAAGTTTTCCATATATAAATCATCAACCTATAGTTATATGTGAGAACTCAGCTTCCCAAAGGATGCATTCCCTGAAAATTCTGAGCAGTTGATATTTTCCTTTATGTTCTCCTTGAATTCAATAATATAATAGGTCATCTTTCTGTGTTTATGTAAGTAAAAGGAACAGAATTTCATGACTCTGTAAATCATAAACACCAAAATCAGTGGTATCTAATCAAGAGGATGTGCCAAAGCTTTAAGCTCTTAATGAAAAACATTATTGAACTGTCTTACCTGTCGACGAATCATCTCCAGGTCTCTTTTTGCTTTATTCACTAGAGTCTGAATTTCTACAGGATCTTTTACATTCTTATTTTCTCGGAAGGCATCTCTTATCCTCCTGATAGCATAAGTTCTAAATAAATTCACAGGAGAAAAAAGAGAAAAGGTGTCAGTGTCTCTGAAGCTATGCTTTTAAATTAATTTAAAAGTTTTTCCTTAAGAATCATTGTCTGATATTCTCCTATGGATAATCCACTTTGATATTTGCTCTTGGGACAGGCCCATCCATTACATTTTGGAGATGACTAAGAAAACATATTTTGGGATGTAAATCTACCCCAAATGAGTCACATATAAATGGCAAACTGTTACTGAAATGCTCCTTAGATTGCTGGTTCTTTATAGAGTTATTCACATCTGGCTTCCTTCCATTTACATGAACAATTGAACCTTTAATGTACAGAGACAAAGCAAGAACTGAGGGGAGATGATGCACCGCATGTGCATGCACAAAGACAGATATCTAAGCTGCACTTGGGGCAGCACTTCAATCTTGTCCCATATTTTGGCTGTTTCTTCATCTTGTGTAACTTAATATTAGGATCCACATCAGGATCCTACCTCAGTCCAGAGTGGAGATTACACCAAAATGCTCTGAAGTATACACATAAGCACATACATGCATGTGCCTAACACCTCCTCCCCCCATGTAAGTTACATGCAGTACAAGAACAGCGGTTCAGGAACAAGGCTTTCAAATCAGACAGGATGGGGTTTGAATTCTTGCTCTGCTTCTGTTTGTGTGAACTTGGGCAAGCTTCTCAACCCATGTTTTCTATCTGTCAGACAGGCACAATCCTGTTTACCTCTCAGGGCTGCTGGGAGGGTTAAGCTTTATTATGAGTGGCAGGAGTCTGGCACAGAACATGGTACAAAAAAGAAAAAGACTCAGTAAATGAAAACTGTTCCTCTTCTTCTTGCTATTCCTTACTGCAGTTAGTATTTGCCTCTCCTCACGTCATTGTCATACCACACTGCATTCATAGAGGGTAGCTGGTCTGGATAATTAGCCATAACAAAAGAGTCAAGAGTCCTTAACCTGATAAACTCCCATACTCTGAGAGTCATGGCCTTGACCCCCAGGCCCACCTGTCTGCAGCAGATTAAAGACAAGGCACTAAGGAGAAGCAGCCCAACTCAAACATATCAGACACAATTTTCCCTAGTCTTTGTATCATCTCAGATTGCTCAGCTCTTACCTTTGAACACCTGCTAAATAATCTATGCAAGATCTTCTTGAGACACATGGCAGAGGAGTGAGTGGAAGTCATAGTGACCTCCTCCCAGGACCAAACTAGAATTGCAACTAAATTGTGGAGAAATCACCTGGAAAACAACGGAACGATAGCGAGAGAGGAGCCTTGGAGGCTCGGACAGACTAGTGGAATCGGATTTCGCACAACCTAAAGGGTGAGAAGTGTGGTGGAGGCTTGAGAGGGTGGGCGCCAGCACCAGAGGGATATTGAAATGGCCAGTTGGATCCCCCTAAGAAGAACAGGGTCTGAATCATAAGTGGGGACCTCTAGCCTACAGCACCAGAACCCAAAAAAGCACACAGACAAAAGACAGCTGCAAAAAGAGTAGTGGTGCTCTCTGCCAGAGACAGGCAGCTGGAGATGCAAAGAACCGTTTAAAGGACCAATGCAAAAATTTGCAGTGGCAGCCACCTTCCTTGGTGTCTGGGCAGAGGCAAGGCAGAGGGGACTGGAGCTGCCCGAGGAGAGATTGGTGAGGAAAACTTTGGGGAGAGAACTGAGACAGTGGCCAGCGGGGTCCCAGTGATGACTCACCTCCCACTCTATAGCTTCCATCTTGCTCAGGCATAAATGATAAAATAGCCTCACCCTCAGGAGGCTCTGCCCCAGCCAGGTGTTACACGCAGGCCTGGGTGCTGAGTGCAGAGCAGCTGGCACAGATAGTAGATCCCTAGCTAAAGGGGACACAGAGCTGGCTAGAGGCGCTTGAGGAGAGTCTGGAGACGGAGGCATTGGGGAGAGAACTGAGGTAATAGCCGGGGGGGTTCCTGGTGCTGACTCCGTCCCCATTCTGCAGTCTCCATCTTGCTCAGGCAGGCCATGCCCCTGAGTGGCGGCAGTGCAAAAGGAAACAACAGTCCTACCCTCAAGAAGATCTGCCCCCACCAGGAGTTGCCCACGGGCCTGGTTGTTGAGTGCAGGGTGGCTGGCACAGAAAGTGGATCCCTGGCTAAAGGGGACACAGAGTTGGCTAGAGATGCTTGAGGAGAGACTGGAGACGGAAGCGTTGGGGAGAGAACTGAGGGAGTAGCCAGGGGGATATCAGTGCTGACACCTCCCCCACTCCTCAGCTTCCATTTGCTGAGGCAGACCACTCCGTTGAGTGGCAGCAGCCTATAAGGATACAATAGCCCCACTCTCAGGAGGCACTGCCCCGTCTTGTGGTGCCTAAGCCTGACCGCTGAGGGCAGAGTGACTAGATAACAATTGCAGGAGACAGACAAGATAGTAGATTCCTGGAAGTCTCAAACAGACTGCCGAATGTCAGACGAGGTCAGCATCTGACATCATCAGAGGCAGATCCAAAAATAAAAGGAAAAAAAAAAAAAAGACCCATCTACTAACACAGAAGTTCACATCACAAAGTGAGGAAACCAAGGCAGATTAATTTAAGAAGCAGGAGCAAAAAAGAAGAGTCTCACAAATAATGGGAAGGGGGGAAAAACCCACTTGAAGGGAAAGGATGAATCCTTTCACCCCAAAGAAGCAAAATACGTTTCTTCTCAAATGCACACAGAACTGTTTCAAAGACAGACCACATGATAGGACACAAAACAAACCTCAACAAATTCAGGAAAATTGAAATTATAACAAGCATTTTCTCAGACCACAAGGGCTCAAAACTGGAAACCAACCTCAAGGAAAAATCTCAAAAACTTTCAAACTCATGGAGACTGAATAGCACACTATTAAACAATGAATGGGTCAATAATGAGATAAGAGGAGAAATCAAAACGTTTTTGGAAACAAAGAAAATGAACACACAACAGACCAAAATCTGTATGACACAGCAAAGGCAGTCCTGAGAGGGAAGTTCATAGCAACATAGGCCTACCTAAAAAAGATAGAAACATTTCAAATAAATGACCTAACTCTACAACTTCAAGAAAAGAAGAAAGAACAACAAACAAATCCCAGAGCAAGCAGAAAGAAGAAAATAATCAAGATCAGAGCAGAACTGAATGACATAGAGACGAAAAGAACAATTCAAAGGATCAACCAATCCAGGAGCTGGTTCTTTGAAAAGATAAACAAAATTGACAAGCCTTTAAGCAGACTCATCAAGAAAAAAAGGGAGAGGACCCAAATAAATAATATCAGAAATGAAGGAGGAGAAATAACAACTGATATCACAGAAATACAAAGGACTGTAAGAAATTACTATGAACAATTATATGCCAAGAAACTTGAAAACCTTGATGAAATGGACAAATTTCTAGAAAAATATAACCTTCTAACACTGAATGAAGAAGAAGCAGAAAGCTTGAACAGACCAATAACAGCTGGTGAAATTGAAGTAGTAATCAAAAAATTCCCAGCACACAAAAGCCCTGGACCAGATGGTTTCACAGGAGAATTTTACAAAACATTTAAGAAAGAGCTAACCCCTGTCCTTCTCAGACTATTCAAAAAAATCCAAGAAGAGGGAAGACTCCCGAAAGAAAACCACAGGCCAATATTGCTGATGAACATAGACGCTAAAATCTTCAACAACATCTTGGAAAACCGCATCCAGCAATACATTAAAAGGCTCATGCACCATGATCAAGTGGGACTCATCCCAGGGATGCAAGGATGGTTCAATATTCACAAATCAATAAATGTAATACATCACATAAAAAAAGGAAAGACAAAAATCACATGATCATATCAATCGATGTGAAAAAAGAATTTGATAAGGTACAGCATCTATTTATGAGAAAAACACTCTGGAAAATGGGAATAAAGGGGGCATACCTCAACATCATAAAGGTCATATATGAAAAACCTACAGCCAATGTCATACTCAACGGGCAAAAAACTGGAGGTAAAAGCTTTCCCATTAAGATCAGGAATAAGACAAGGATGTCCACTTTCACCACTTCCATTCAACAAAGTATTGGAAGTCCTAGCCACAGTGGTCAGACAAGAAAAAGAAATAAAAGGCATCCAAATTGGAAGGAAGAAGTGAAACTATCATTCTTTGCGATGACATGATAGTGTACATAGAAAGCCCTAGAGACTCCATCAAAAAACCACTTGACCTTATAAGTGAATTTGGCAAAACAGCAGGATACAAAGTCAATATTCAGCAATTGAAGGCATTTTTGTACACCAGCAATGAAATAGCAGATGCAGAAGTCAGGAGAAAAATCCCCTTTGCTATAGCAACAAGAAAAATAAAATACCTAGGAATAAACTTAATCAAGGAGGTAAAAGACCTGCAAGCAGAAAAGTATACAACACTGAAGAAAGAAATTAAGGAAGACACAAATAAATGGAAGCATATACCGTGTTCATGGATATGCTTCCATGAACATCATGGAAGAATTAACATCATCAAAATGTCCATACTACCCAAAGCAATTTAGAGATTCAACACAACCCCTATTAAAATACCAATGACATATTTCACAGACATCGAACAGAGATTTCAAAAATTTATATGGAACTATTAACGACCCTGAATAGCTGCAGTAATTTTAAGAAAGAAAAAACAGGAGGGATCACAATACCAGACATAAAAGTATATTACAAGGCCACCGTACTCAAAACAGTCTGTTACTGGCACAAGAACAGACACATAGATCAGTGGAACAGAATAGAAAGCCTAGAAATAAACCCATGTCTCTATGGTCAATTAATATTCGACAAAGGGGGCAGAAGAATAAAATGGAGTAAAAATAGCCTCTTTAACAAATGGTGTTGGGACAGATGGACAGGTACATGCCAAAAATTAAAATTTGACACCAACTGACACCATACACGAAAATAAACTCAAGATGGATAAAAGACTTAAATATAAGTTGGGACACCATAAAAGCCATAGAGGAGAACA